TTTTTGGTGGCTCGCTAGACATTAAAGAATACTTTGCGGCGACAGATAGTGCATAACTTTTTAATTTAATTGGCAACAATACTGAAGAAATTTCTTTTTTTCTCTGCCCGAAAAGACGAATTATTAGTAATTTGATCAATTTTATATTGTTTTCTTTTTTTGAAGGAATTTTTGAACATTCACTTCATCGCTAAATTCAGAACCTAATATCTCTGCTTCCTGAGAAGAATCTAGAATCAAGATGGTAGATTTTAAAACAGCAACCTGATTTGTCTGAAAAAATTTAACATTTATTTCAGTCGTTTTAGGTGCAAAATTATCAGAAATAAAAGAAATATCAGATAAAATATAGAAATATATTTTTAAATAAACTTGTTAAATATATTAGAGGGACAAAACGATCTCTGTTTACTGATTATTAGAGGCGTGATTAAATCCTGCGATAACTTGTTAAATATATTAGAGGGACAAAACGATCTCCGTTTACTGATATATTAGAGGAGATATTATTTTGAAGATTGTTCAACACGAGGTCTAAAAAGTTCAGATAAAAAAACATATCATTAACATTCTTCTTGACTTTTTTTGTATTATTCTCACAAGGATAATATGACTCAATATGCATTCCAAAAAATCTTGAGAGAGTGCACATAGTAAGAAATGAAGAATAAGATTAGTTTGTAACAATATTAATAGGCTCTGATATGATACTTGGTATTCTGCTATTTTTACTATAGGAATCATATGCTTTTTGCGAAATAATAATATAAATAGCAGTGCTTTTATCAATGGTTCTTAAATTTGTTGGGTCATTTTGAGAAAAAGTAATTAGGTGATTTAAATAAAAATCAGCATTTATATATAATTCGATGCTTGTTAGACATCTAAAGTATTCTGAAAAAGATTCATTGCCAGTTAATGATGTGTAACAAGCATTAATTGAGCAGTTTCCATTTGGAGTAGTTCTGATAACTTTCAAAAAATTTACATAAATGTTAACAAAAAAAACAACAATAAATGATGGTATTTATTAACTACACTTAAATTTGTGGAACAGCATCTATGTAATAAAAAGATTTTTTTCAGTTTTCAAGATCGCAGTAAAAACTTGCGTGAGTGAGTAAAATAGAGTTAACAAATATTAAAATTCACTTGTTAACTATTAAAAATGCCATGCAATACTCAAATTTGCATTAAAAAAATATTAAAAGTTGAGGGATGCTGGAACACCCTTTAAACCCATCTGAATCCGCCCCTAAGACATAACAAAACATTTTTCTTTTGCTTATCATGATGTTGCATAATTATGCAATAATATTTGCGCCTTTTAATCTTGATTATTCTGAGTCGTGTTTTTGCTTATTTTGTTTATGTGCATTAAATATCACTTAATTTTGCTAAAGTTGGTATTTTATGGTCTTTATCAAGAACTTCGATTAGCGGCATTCCAAACAGGTTCAACTAATGTTTTATCTCTAAACTTTGGTTAAGTAATAAGGCAAATAATTGTCCGAGGTTCAACTTGAATTTCATAACTTTATAGTAGAAAACAGGTAGAATTTTGATCATAAAATTAACGACAATATTTGGTCATGAAATGATGTTTAAATCTGATTCGACATTTGTCTAATGTGTAACGTTGAAACGTTGTTATGCTATTAACGTTATTAACTGATAGGAAAATGATCAAAACAATAACGCTATTAATTGGTTGTTTTTTGACACTCAAAATATGTTGTAACAACGTTCAAAATTTAACGTGAATACAATAACCTAATAATAACGTAGAAAAAAGGTAAAATATTTGTCATAAAGTTAACGTCAATATTTGATCATTTATTGACGTTTATATAAGGTCCAAATTAGGTTAAAAAATCGATATTTGTATTTTGAGGTCAAAGTGACGTCGAATTTTAGTAAAAAGAAAAACGTTAATAAAATTGACCTTAGTTTAACGACAAAGCAACAGAAAATGTTTACTGCGATGTATACTATGTAAAGCAGAAAGTTATTGTCATTGGAAATAGTTTACGAGCAAAAACAGGTTCTTTTTTACTGTAATTCCATAGATAAGTTACTAATATTTTACTAAAACAGAAAAACTCTGCTTCATATTTTGTACAAAGCCAAACAAATCCAACACCTAATGAAATTAATTAAATTAAATTATAAGGATAGGTTTTTATGATAGACATAGCGATAGGTTTGTTTGATAGATAGTGGAATAGGTTTGCTTCATAGATGGAGAAATAGATTATTTTTATAGATAGAAGGATAAGTTTGTTTAATAGATAACTTTGGATAACTTTGATAACTTTGGATAACTTTGATGACGGGATAACTTTGTTTTATAGATAGAGGCGTAGTTTTGATTACAGTTTGAGGTTACGGACATTTGGTTAAGCATTAGCAACAAATTTTCTAAAAAAAAAAATTCATAAATATGTTTTGTTTTCGTGTCCTATCAAGCACATATTTATTTTGGAATAGTGTTTTTCATGTTTTATTTTAATTATTTTTATCCTAACTCAAGATTCTTGTCTTATTTAAAATAATAATCTCTAGTCCTCTACGTGTCATTAGAAGTTGAGCAACTTTCTTGCGGGTGTTTATATTTATCAAAGAGAACTCGTTAGTTGATGTACTTTATTTTTTATATTACAAAGCAACTCGAGCAGTTGACTAGAGAGTTCACTCATCCTTCCTTACTAATACAGTTTTTTGAGCTAGAGTTCAAAAAACTATATAAGTAAGGAGTTTGAACGGAGTCAAACGTCAGACCTCTGGGTTCTGAGCCAGATCCCCAACCACCACGCTACTTTTACTCAACAGTCTTAACTTAGAGATGTACTTAAACATTCACTTAGTATTTTTAGCCTGTCGATGGAGGCTATATACAAATTGGCAACTTGTGATATATTGTCAGGAAAAAATCCACTGCTATACGTGGATTTAGATTGAATTAGAATCTAATTCAATTAAGATAGCAAGGACGGTGTATAACTTTCTTTGTAAGTTCTTTGGTAATTCTGGCTGTTCTAGGTGAGTGTCACCTGTATAACTACTCAGCAATGGCTGTTGAAAAACAATATTGTTCTAGACGCGGTTCAGCATTGGCTATACAAAACAACTGGTATTAATGAAAGCATAATTAAAAGTATGTTTGTATATCAAGTACAAGGTTATTCCTTTAACCGTGTGATCGCTTATTTGGAAGAATATCACAGATAACAGCAAACAAGTCAAATACCACAAGGCCAGAAAAGTATTAGGAAATATTCAAAATGCGTTCTAGTTAAGTATTTGTTTAGAGAAAGGACTGTGTATTGCATGACTTTAAAGCAGAAAAAACATAAAAATTGCTTCTTAGACTTTAAAACCTAAAGGGGATCCTTATTCATTGCCCTTATTCAGAAGAAAATTGGTTTATTTATGTGAAGGGAAAAATATAAACTTTTACTTACGACTATCAGTCATTGTTAAAAGCAAAAGCAAAAGCGTAAGAGATAGCTTTTCAAAAGACACTGATGGGCAGTGAATACATTGTTGATATAGATAATCCTGAACCAAGTATGACTTTATCAAAATCCTGTACCAAAAACGATGTGACATGTGATTAGCAAAAAATTAATGCAGTAGAGTGGACAGTGGCAGTTATTTTGGTTCTGAAAAAAAATTATAAACATGGTAATACCAATAAAAAAATATACCGTATATTATTAGTGAATATGAACGTGCATATAATACTAGCATCGTTATCAATTATGCCGAGAAAATGATATAAACCAGCATTTTTTTTTTAACATTGTTACTTCAAACAAGGGTCCAAGCAACCACCATAAAAGTAAGAAGTTACTTGAAAAGAAAAAATGAAGTTAATTGAGAAAGATAACGATTGACAGTCAACTTAAAAGATTGCAAGTTCTATGAATCATGAAATAGCGAATAATGAAGATAGCGAATTCCAAAAAACTGTCGTTTAAGGAAAAAGACTTCATAAATAAGAATATTTGGAGTTCTTAGGAACAGTCACAAAAGGATGAGACTTAATTGAATAACGAGTAATACGAAAATGAACTTTAGTAGGTGATAGACGCTAGCTCTTTAGAGTAGTGCCCATGTCTTTTTAAAAAAGAGAAAAAGAAGCAACATTACTACAATGTGATAGTGGTTAGCTGCAAAAGCAGCTAACCACTATCACATAAAACAATAGTATTTTGCACCTTGGTGCAAAAACAATAGTATTTTGCACCTTGTCTAAAAAGAAAAGAGGATCATTGGAAAATCCGCCTCAGATTTATAGAAATGAAAAATAGATTCCTGTGTAAAATAATGACGCAGAAGAGTAAGAGATGCAACCTTAGCAGATGCTGATTCCGCAATTGATTAGTTATATATATATATATATATATACATATATATATATATATATATATATATATATATATATATATATATATATATATATATATATATATATATATATATATATATATATATATATATTAATATATTATTGTTAAATATATCCTATAATATAAATTTAATATAAATATATAAATCATATATAGTGCTGTTCTGGTAAAGTTCTAAGGACCGGCTCGCACATACTTGCATCTTTCCCCTTCAATCTAGTGAATTTATTTAAGTAATTTAATTTAGGTACCCCTTAAAAAGACACCAAAATTTTTTTTTTGTTTGGATATTTAAAATATCTTTGATACACGTTTGCGCAAAGTTTCCCTCAGTTACAAAGTTACCTTTTGTATAGCCGCCCATTTTAACGGTATTAAATATAATGATTATAACTTGAATTATAAAAGTGTTTTGAATTTATTATAGAGTAATATAAGATTGTTTTTGAATACTTAGTGTTTTATGAATACAATAATTTATACATACATGTCCTTGTGGTAAAGTTGCTACATCATATATTCTGTAGAATATTATTTCAAACCGTTAAAAAGTTTAATTAAAATATTTATATTTCTGTATTTAAGATCTCATTGCCAATAAAAAATATGGGATGTTGGAAAGACGATTTAAATAAAGCCATGGTAACGCTTGAAGGATCATCAACAGTGTTAGATGGTTCTTACCAAACTCGTAAAGATGCTATAAAAATGTGTTATCTGGCAGCAAGAGAAAAAGGATTGGCAGGATTTGCTCTTCAAGATGGAGGCTTTTGTTCTGCTAGCAATGATAATTCGCATACAAAATATGGTTTATCAAATGCATGTAAAGATGATGGAAAAGGAGGTGTAATGTCTAATCAAGTATATTTGATTAATGAAAAGCTGTTGTATAAGTATGTAGGCTGTTGGATTGATAATGATGTTAGAGCCTTAATAGTTTTAGATGGTTCAGCGCCAGATCTTAACGATGAATATAAATATCGTATTGATGCTATAACAAAATGTTACAATCAAGCAACTAAACTCAGTTATGATGTTTTTTCTCTTCAAGACGGTGGGCAATGCTTCGCTGGATACGGCGTTTCTTACCAAAAGTATGGAATGGCATATAACTGTAATCCAAATGGTAAGGGTGGTAAGGGATCTAACGCCGTTTATACTATTATTTATTAATAACATTTTAAACGATAAATTTGTAAGCCTTAAATACCTATTTTGTAAACAACACATCCGTAAAGTATAATTAGTGTCTCATGTATCATTTCCTGTCTAATGACTGAAAAAAATTTAAAAAAAAAAGCTAGAAAATGATATTGTTAGTGTTTGTAAAAGTTTTAAGTGTCAACTTTTTGTTATTTAAATAAATAACTGAACCTATTTTTTTTAAACGTTTTTTACCTTAATCAGATGCTGCTTTGAACTACCGTTTTAATCTCTTTTTTTGAATTAGAAAAATTACGGTTTGGGCTTAGCTTAGTTCTTTTGATTAGGTTTTTGACTTGTTTGTAATCTCAGATGCCAAGCGTGTTTATTCTCTCCACTTTTTCTTTCTCTGACTGTTTCATTTTTATTTTTACTATCAACATCGATACAACTTAATCTGACGTAACAATAGATGCTGAATCAAACTCTCGCGCAATAGTGCATACTTTAACTAAGGAAAGTATAGATTATTACAAAAATTTTTTTTAGGGTTGATAATGGTCTATTTAATGAAGATATTTTTATAACGGTATAAATTATTAAGTTTATTTAAAAAAGTTATATCAATTGTATTATAAAATAACAAGGAATTCATAGTAAAATGAAATTAAAAATGCACCTTTTTTTTTTGCTTTTGATGTGATCTTTTTTCAAATTACCAAGTTAGCATTTAAAACAAATTGGTATTCCCGTATTAAAAAACACCATACTATTCGAGAACGACCATACCTAAATTAAATTCAGGATTTTGGTATGAAGAAACTTTCTACAATTTTTCATTTGGGAAACTCTTATATTTTAATTTGCTGACAGGAAAACTTAATTTTAAAGGCATAAAAATTTTTTTAAAAATTTTAAGTTTTGTTTTGTTATACTGTAAAAAAACTCATAACTTTTTTTCCGTAACAGCAAATGCTTCTAAAGATTTCGTTTTAGTAAATATAGTATTTTTAAACTATATTAAAATTATTTATAAAGATTTTTAACTCTTTAAGTAATGAGTTAATATTTTAGACAAAAATTTTTTAAACTGTTTTATTCGATTATAATAACTATTGTTTAGCTTAACGCTGCAGCTGTTTTACTCATTTGTGCGCGTTTGACATAGAGTTTTTTGAAGAGCATTTAGCACACTTGGCATTTTAATGCTTTTTCTAATATTTTTAACCACGCCAAATGGTATTCTTGTATCTTATCCACATTTATATAATCTGTTGATATCTGCTTAGTCAGTAGTAAGGTCTAAACACCCACATACTAGACAACAACTTGATGACTCATGTACAACAGTAGTCAATCGTTTTATTGCGCACCCAATCAGTTGCGCTTCACATTGATTTGCGCGTTTAGGCCAAAATATTTTTGTTTCAATTTTTTACTGAGTTATTGCTGAAAGTTCGATCAGAAAACGTAACTATTATTTTCCTGTGTTAAGTTAAAAACTAGTTTTTATCATAACTATTTTGAGATAATGATTTTATCAGAATGTAAAGAGATAAACAATTTGAATTCGAATTCAAATTAAAGTAAATGATAAATCGTGTTTTAAACTGATAACAATAAGTTTTAACGATTTATCAGTCAAGTCTCATTGAAAAAACTTTAATAAAAAAACTTCATTTTAAAATTAGCCGACTATTCACAGTCTTATTCCAACTTTTTTATCCTTACTTATGGCTAATGGCAAAGGAAAAAGATTAACAGAAGGTTAACAATTCGAAGTTATAGTTAAACTTAAAAAAAGTGATGCGCTATGCAAACAAGCGATTGCAAGAGAATATAATGTAACTGAAAATTCAATTTGATCTCTATGGAAAAATTGAGATTAAATAAAAAAAAAAGTTTACTAATGACAGAAGAAACTAGAAAAAAAGTGTTTTGATTATCTTCTGAAAAATTTAAAGCAATAAAAAATTAGCTATATATTCGGATTGATACATTGCCTTGTTCGAAGATTGAAGTACCTCCATCGTTAGCAATTATGAAAACAAAATAATAGCGCAAGAATTAAATATAAAAAAAGAAGAATTAAAAACTTCTTGGCAATTGTTCACAAACTCGAACAATTGCCAAGAAGTAAAGGCTTAAAATCAATGCATCTCTTTGATGAAGGAGCTGAAGTTGACAAAGGATTGATCCTGTCCTTATTCAACAACTTGAAGACCTTTACTCAGTTATTAAAACGTACAGACCCAAAATTGTATATATATTATAGATGAAAATGGACTTTTTTTTGCGTACGGGCTAGTTATTCTTTGTTTATGCCTACTGAAAGTCTACTTAGTAACTACAAGGATTAAAAAAAACTAAAGAAAGAGTGACTTAAGCTATTTGCTCCAACGCAACAGGATCTCACAAAATACTCTGTTCAATGATTGGAAAAGCTGCACGACCTGCTTGTATAGTCGGTAGAACATGGCCTATACCGTTTTTTGTCAGAAAAATGCATGGATAAATATCACTGTATGTTAGAAACGAATACTAGAAGTTTTTGATCCAAAAGTTAAACGCAAAAGTAGCTTGTCTGTTATTTTATTATTAGACAATGTAACTAGACAGTTTGAGATGTTTGAGCAAAGTCTTGTAAATGTTATTTTATTCCATCTAAATTGAAAATTGCATGTTGAAAGCAACGATGTGAAATGGGGATTATTGCGGCTCTCAAGAAGTGATATATATATATATATATATATATATATATATATATATATATATATATATATATATATATATATATATATATATATATCTCAAGAAGTGATATATATATATATATATATATATATATATATATATATATATATATATATATATATATATATATATATATATATATATATATATATATATTCTTTTCTAAAACCTTTATCAGTGGTACGTCAGACACTACTATTTCTGGCTATAAGCTGTATAACACAAAAAAGTGATTAACGCGGCTGTCCTTAATTGTGAACAACAACTAGTAAGCAGTTTCAAGGATTTTCCGAGACGTCTGTGTAAAAAAACAAGCTTAAGGTACATAATTGCATTATTACACTTAGAACTAGCGATAGTAACATCAACCAAGGTTCATATCTTTTTACTACTAACAAGCACTTCCCAATATTAATTTATTTCTAAAAACCACAAGTACCAAACTGAGTACTCAATTAACAACTTTGTTATAAGCTAACTTGAAAACATGAAATAAATAAACAAATAAAGAAAAATAAAAAATATCTCTTTCACTCATTTTCATGCAACCCTATCGAACTGGAAATGTCGAAATGGAAACGGAAATGTTCGAAATGGAAAAGAAAAATATTACTCCTATTTTTACAAAAGGAAACAAATTCAAGGCTTGTAATTATAGGCTGGTATCTCTCACCTCTGTACTGTGCAATGTAATGAAGAGAGTTTAATAAAATAGAGCACCCACAGTGCACTAATTTAATAAATACGTTTAAGATGCTGCTTCGGCAGGGTTAGGGGTTAGACAAGGAGCATAGGGGTTAGACAAGGAGCTATTCATCATATGAAGGCTTTATATTCTTTCCTTCATCAATTCTAAACTTTATATGTGGAAGTTGTATTGCTTACTCTAACAACTAAATTAAAAAAAATATATCTAGTAATTAGTCTCTATAAAAATAATTTGGGAGAGTTCAACTGAATTCTCCCGAAACGAATTTGCAAATCTGTCTCTTACCATAAAACTTTCAATATTTTATATCTAATCAAATATTTTTATAGCAAAAACATAAATATAGTGAAAAAGAATTGTAATTATTAAAAAAAACAATAAATATTTATCTAGACATGTTTTTTTATATTTTTTTTATTTTTTTCTGACTATATAAATATTAAATAAAAGACTTTATAAAACTGAAATAAACGCTATTGATCAAAATTGAGAAGATCTTGAGGCAATCAAATTTTCAAGTGAAAAAAACCTGTAAAACTTAATATATATTTTAGTATGTTTTAAAATTACATAATTTGAAGTTTACCTATATTATATCCCAGATAGCATACTTACATTGGCCCAACGTCAGATCAACGTCAAAAATTTGATTGCTAATAGTCGGCAACGGACGTCGCTACAACGTTGATATGGTAATAAGATATATAAGTCAAGGCGATGTTACAGCCATCCGTTGGGCTAGCGTTGGCCCAACTTCGACATCCGACGTTGTGCAAGCGTCGAATTTTAACGTTGGTCCAACGTAATATTTTTATATATAAGAATCTTTACAATTTTGATTCATTTAATAAGCACGTACTTACTATTTCTTATGTAGTGTTCATTAAAACTATTACATTAGTTTTAATACGATTTGATTGAAATCTAAGAACTTACATTTTTCGTTAGTTAAGTTTTAATGTTTTAATGCATCGCCATAACTACTGTTAAAATTATATATACTGTGTTTTAACAATAAAGACTCATCAAAGGATTTTTATTTCTAATGAGTCTTTATTAATGAAACACAGCGCAATTAGTAGGTAACCGAATTTTTGGCCAAAGCCGGGGCCCCGGCTTCTGCAAAAAATGAGACATATATTTCGAAACTCTAATTTACTCCCAACAAGATTTCAAGCAACCACTATTAAATAAAATACAAGGAAACGTATAACTAAAAACATAAAATATTGTAAGTTGTATAAAAAAGGAAAACAGGAAGAAAGTTGGGTAAGATTATATAAGGTTTTTTTGATATTTAAAAAAAAACTAGAATAATTATCATGCTGTAAAAAGAATTTATTAGAATAAAGGGACAAATACAGTAAAAATATATAACTTGTATAAGAAATAGCCAAGCGAGAATGAATTTTGGTTTATCGATATATGATAAACCAAATGATGATAACTTATTTGAGCATAGACCACTACTGTATTTGTAGAAAAAAGAAAGAAATGCAACCTTACAACATTGGAAGAGTGGCTCAAGCTTGCAGATAAAGCAGGTTTAACTACATTTACAATGTACTTTTAGACTTTTTCTGAGAGTAAGAGGGTTATTATTTGTCAATATAGGAATGCCAACAATATTGCAATAT